TGAGAATAACTTTCATCTTTTCTTCAACTGAATACTGTTTCCGTGCTGTTTTGATGTATTTTAAAGAGTTGGCAGTCAAAATTAAAACTGCTGGATGATAGATATTCTTCATTCTTTATGACAAACACTATAATGTGAATTACAGAATGTACAACGTTTTTTAAAATGTATCAATTGCGGTGTACAGTGTTTATTATGATGGGGTAGAATCCACAGCTCAGTACTCACTACTCAATACTCATGAGTACTTTTAAATAGGCTACTCTTTTACTCTTACTCAAGTAGTTTTTTGGACAAGTACTTTTACTCTACTCACACTACATTTTTTGGAAGGTAATGGTACTTTTACTTGAGTATATTTTTTCAGTACTCTTTCCACCACTGGTATGCGCGCATACTGTAGGCATTTTGTTTGCTTTTCACGATATACTCGATAATATCAAATCGCACATCTTTAAAACAACAATTACGATATTATTGCAGACCATACATATCGCACACCCCTATGCAGTTTAGATTTTTATAATGCATTGTCTTCTTATCGATCCAGTTCACATTTAAAGCTCTGCGTGTTTGCAGGGTAAAAACATGGGCTGATTTTTGCATTGGTCTGAACTCTGAACAAAACAACGGTTTATTGAAAATGCTCATTCATTCTCTTACAGCAGGTGGAGCCTTTGGTAGAAATATAACTGTTTCCCCGGTAGCTGCAGTACACAAAGCAGCGCAGCACCGGACTCTGATTTAATGAAATCATAGCCTTTTGATTTGAAGTTTAATCGTCACATTCAGCCATATCGCAATTCTGCTCTTTCCGTCCCCAAATTTAAGACCTCTTGAAATCATAATTAAGACTTTCTTGTACAATTTAAGACTTTTTAAGGCCTTAAATTTGATACAATTCAATTTAAGACTTTTTTAAGACCCGTGGAAACCCTGAATATGTCAAAAGAAACAACAGAGCAGCCTCTGCTTGCTATATATAAATAAAAAATTATAATATTAAGTTTTATTCTATTCTAACCACTTCCTGGTCGACATTTCATCGAGTAACTTTAGGTTTTGATTTATATGCCATTATTATAACATTATAATGAAAAGACTGTTGTAACAACTCTTTGTGCTTTAGTTGCCTGTGTTTTTTAGCATGGCGCTACGGGTTGAGTGCATCCACAACAAGAGTCACACATTCGAGACTAACACGTAACTTACCTCAAGTTCACTTTTACATTTGTGTCATTTTGAGTAGACAGATAAAATTTCTAATATTACATTTATGTAAGATAAATATCTGATTAATTTCATGTAGGACACCTTTGGTTAATTAAAGCGTTACCAAAGCACTACAGTTTACTGGTTTTCATCAAAATAATCTTTAATCAAAAACATTTCATTAACAGTAATGATGTGCATAACCTCCCGGCCATTCGTCTGATTCAAATGATATATCATGAGTTCATGGGTCTATTTTGAATAATTCATTAAAAGGAGAGGCTCATATGACTCACTTGTTCATGAATCAAACTGGTCGCGTTGTATGGTACAACTCAATAAAAAGATGCGTTTTCAAAATCTGGAGGTTTTTTTTGCAGTGGGTGAAAAGTAAACGATCTATCACTTACTACAAAAATATAGTGCTCTCTTTCTCTTCTTTTCTGCATTTAACCTCTGCTCTAGATTGCTAATCTACTTTAAACATGTTATTATGCATTATGCATTATGAATATTGTGGGCTCTACGACAAACTGTGATAATCCTCATTTGTAAGATGCTTTGAATAAAAGCACAGGATAAATGTAAATGTAAATATGGCTCAATTTAAGTCCATACGATTTTTGCTCATGTTATCATCTGCCCGGTAAAAATCAGAAGCCTGACGGCTTAGAAAAGCACACATCTCCTTCACATCACAAGATGCATGTTTAATGCTTAGGGTTAGGAGTTTGCTCCTATACAGCATCACAGGTTATCTTTAGGGTGATACTCCATTTGATGCTCTTAAGAAAGCTGATGTTGTCATTATAGTGCACTGGTGCATGTTAGCACTGCAGTTCTGTGTTCCAGCATTTTAATGCCAGGTCTTTAAGTTACTCAGTTAAAAACTGCTCAGCTGAATCATAAAATCACTCTCTTGATATGCAGGAAAATGATGAGGTGTGAGTTTCAAACAAATACTTCTACTGTAGAATTGTGCTTCAGCATGAAGGACAGATGACTTTCACTGAACACAGTGCAGGAAAACCACTTTGGTCAGTGATGGGACTCAACAGAAACAAAAGCCTCATTAACTTCACATGAGAGGGCATGCAGGCAGTGCAGGGCTGTTACATCAGGCTGAGGAAATGTAGGGTTGAATCAGATTATTTTTTTATTTTTTTTGCATTATTCAAAAGCTCTTTTCCAAAACCTTTGCGAGCTGCCTTTCTATCGAAGCAAGATATCTTCCAATATAGCATGAAACTGAAATGTAATATTTTACAATATGTGACTGATTTGGAATGAACTACATTAGAGACGATATTATCAGGATGTTTTCAAGTTATCACCAAGGATATCAGTAAAAATCCAATATCATTTATCCTTAATCGATCACATCAGTTATTGGTTGTTGGTGGTGATTTCTTGTTTTATATATCAGTAAGAGATGATATATGCATATTTATCGGTAAATAGTAGATATTTAATTGTAGACTCCTGTTTCCAGCTATATTTAGATTTAGGGATAGCAACAATTTAATTTGCTCTTAAAAGGTAAAGGTTATGTATACTTTTTTTTTTAGGTAACACTTTTTGGGTATTAATTTATTTACATGCACAACTTCAACACGTGCACTCTTAGTGCTTGATTCATCTAGAAATATTTCAACTATATATATCATTTGTTCTTAAGAAAAAATTATCTATATAGGGAACAATCTCGCTTGCTATATTACTATAATATTAGAGGTTAAAATTAACAACATAGTCCATACTATTAAATTAAATTACTACTTATTTACAGATATAACAAATCAAAAGTCAAATAAAAATTGAATTTTAAGCAAACGTTCCAACTACTGGACAAGCTAACGAGAAGCTAATGAGCTATGGAAACTGAAAGACTTTCCTGAGGAAAATGTATCATTAAGTGGCATGCTGTTTACAAGCTGTTATACTGACATCCTTCTGCAGCTGAAACACTGACTGAGCGAATACATGAGAAATTAATCATTTCCGTAAGTTGTGCTGTATCCCTCAACGAGTTCTGATGTTCATGTTTAGTTTGTGCTTAAACTTAGTAAAAGCTGTACTAAGAGGAAGAGATGACTGTTCACTTGTGCTCTGCTGTGCATGCCATTTGTACTGTGGCAGCTACAGCGATCTGTTAATTAGCAAGCATCAAAATGATTGATTTTTGTGATAAAATAGACGGCATTTGAAAGATGAGAATCATCTGACCAAAATTAATATGATACATAAAACAACATACATATATTTATGTATTTATTTACATATATATACTGTAGGGCTGGGCAAAAAATAATAATTTTTCGATATATCGTTTTTTAAAATGTGGTCGATTCAATATCGATTCTCAAAGGCCACGAATCGATTTTTTTCAATATTTATTTCCGCAAACATTGAACATAAGATTTACGTTAATCTTATTACTAGTCTAATCCACTAGATGTCACCCATGCATTTGAAATATAGAGTTGGGTTTTGTTTTATTGTACCCAAGTGTACCTAAAATAAAAAGTGTTTAATATACAGGTTTGTTGCTCTTAATTTCCTATTAATTAACCATTTGTAATCTTATGTTCACTGTTCATTTTTTATAAATACAGGATTTGTATTAAATCTATATTCATTCATATAGTCAAATCGAATCGAGAATTGAAATAAAAAATCGAATCGAAATCGAATATCGAATCGAAAATCGAATTGAATTGAGAGCTTGAAAATCGAAATCGAATCGAATTGGAACATCTGAATCGATACCCAGCCCTAATATACTGTATATATGTGTTTTTTCCCCAGAAAGCATACAAACATATCTTACCTTTTTGCTTTAAGTTACTTTCCAGTGTAATGAAATTTTCATAGAAGATAAAATAAATCTGTGAGCAGTTGGTTTCAAAAAATGCCTTCAGTTCATTCTTGTCAGTAATATCTGTGGAGAAAACGAACAGAAAATAAAGAATTAGACAACAACAGACACTAAGTCCAATACGTGCATGACTGAAACATTAGAGTTAGATTGTAAAATATGGTATAATATGGTATGATTAAATGCTGAACAAAAAATTCAAGGATATGAATGTGCATGTAGACAGTAGATTTAATCCAGACACAAGCTTTCATGAAATTGTCAAATCAACTCAATATAACTATGTCTGCATTTCAAAAAATAAAAAATAAATAAAAATAATTAGCAGGTTACACTGCATTTTTGGTAATAACAGAAGAGTACCAAGTCTTCTGACAATGACACCAAAACAATTGTGACTAGTTTATCTAGATTAACTGTTTTTAAATCATCGAAGATTTTAATAACGTCAATGCAACATACAAGCAATCTTGTATAACATAACAGAAATCGTGCTCACCTTTAATTGCGTGATAAACTGACAGCATGGAATAGACATATACTGTAATGCAATAGGGCAGTGCGTTTAATTGTATTTTAATGGTGATCACGATTTTGACTTCTCCAGTAATTAATCATAATTGTCTGTAACAGACTGTAAGTAAGCGACTATAATGACCCGCTGGTTATTTGTCCTTATTTTTATTTTTTTTTGGACATTTTCATTATTTTGCATTGACAACAAGCCTCCACAAGCTTTTATGTTTGGGGTTGCCGCATATCAAGAGTTTAAATTCCCCAATCAGGACACATTTTCTCCTCAGTGTTTTACTCGTCTCTTGTGTGATACTGTGCTCAAATAAAATGTAATACAGCTAGGGCTGTGACGGTCGCCGTGACAACCGCGTCACCGCGGTGGTCTATTGCCACCGGCAGTAGTGCAAGTGACGTCACACACTCTATAAGAAAGCATAATACCAAAGACTACAGAAATACATACTACATTTTGTATGCAAGTGTCATAACAGTAACAGTGGCAAATTGTTTATTTAGACTATAAGTCTAAGTCTATGTTAATTCACAAATCACCTCAAACGCCATACACAGCGTTTCTTTAGATTGGCGGGTTTGAGCACAGCAAAATACAGTTTATTTTGCATTCAGCAAATTAATTTCGTGTTGAGCGATGGACCTTGTTGGGAAACCAAATACTACATCGCCGATCTGGAGGATGCACCCATCCGCGTTTGTACAAATGTGTTCAAGTTCCCATGATTGCAAACGCCCGGCTGGTCAGGGTATTGTCGAGGCTTTCTCCAAACTGGCCAAATACAAACGAGACAGCGGTAAATGGAAGATGCTAACAAGAAATGTGGAAACATACGCCGCGATTCCTATTTCACAGAGAGCACGTGCAGACGAAGAGTTAACGTATGGCAAGCCAGAGTATTCATATACACCTGGTCGGGCGTCTGATTGTACACTGACACATCAAAAGCGTGCGATTTGACAGCAAAACGCACGTCCACGACGTGTGATTTGCCATAAAAACGTGCGTTCTTAACGTGCGCTTTGGGTTTATCATAACAGAAATGGGCGTCGAATACGTGCATTTTGAGTCAGACAAAACGCACGTTATGAACGTGTAAACAGGTAAACCAAACAGGCAGTGCAAACGTCTGTTTGAAGTATCCAAACAGGAGAAAAGAACGTGCTCTTTCCTTAGTGTTCTCAAAACTGCACGTCGAAAGAGTGTGCTCACTTTATAGGGCTTGTGTCTGTCATGTTTTTTCCTCTATATGGGGTATTACAGTAACGCATTGCTGCCACATACATATTATTTGTTCCTCTTAGTCGTAATGACGAAATGTTATGTCGTTTAAACTACATATTTTTATATTTTATATTTAGATTTTTAATAACGACATATTACAAAGGTTGGTCTGCACTCTTTAAGTCTTTTATTGGAATCAAAGCATGAGATAAAAAGACAAACGTTTCGGCTATCTGCCTTTGTGACAATTCTCTGTTTCTTAGGGCCTGTTTACACCTGGTCAGAAGATGATTGTGTGTTGACCGTCTGCGTCTTACTTTGTTTCATTCGCGGCAGTTTGCGCGTCGGCTTGCTGAAGAGATACTCAGCTACTCGTCAGCGGTTATGCGTGTTGCATTAGCGCAGTCATGTAATGTCATATAGCCTATAACACACTCTCACATGTTGTCCAGTTTCGTCTGGAATGCGGCCCAGACCACCTCCTGAAGTGGTTTGAGCGATCAGATTTATATCCGTCTCGAATGCGTTTCGGAGGGCATTTACACCTGGACTTTTCACGATCGGATAGCTATTCGATCAGACAAAACGCATGAAGTGACCAGGTGTAAACAGCCCCTTAAACATCAAGAGTTAAATAAAGGGAACAATAGCTGTTCAAAAAAATTGCTTTCGGGTAGACAGGGTGTATTTAACTTTCTTATTTAAGGCTACTTTCTTATTTAAATGTTTTATTTATTTGATATATTAGTTTTAGTGTTTTGCAGGCTGCATGTTCACTGACGGAAGTGCTAATAAACACGCACGTTTGTTAATAGATGATCGAGCCTCATTAATTAATTTTTTGTTTCAAAATTGTATATATATATATATATACATTTTATGTAAATTAATTATAGATTATATCACAACACCGCGCCACCGATGGTAGTTGGTCCATAAATATTGGTAAAAATCTGCCACCGTCACAGCCCAGTGTTCCCATATGAGGCCACTTGTGCTATTTGCTATATCTGGATCGAAGATGGCGCCGACGCTGATGGCTGCCTCCGTGGCGTGCTCCGCGGTTGTTTTTATGTTTTTGTTAGTTCGTCCTGTCTTTAGTTATATCCCTGCAATCAGTTTCACCAGAGACGAATTGCTGGACATTCGGCAGTACACACCACCCGATATATTTTTATTCCTTATTTACTTGTTCTATTTTTTATTTTTTATTATCTGTGTTTTTTGTTCTGTCTCTGTCATTCTGTTACACTGTGGAAGCTTCTGTCACGAAAACAAATTCCTCGTATGTGTAAACATACCTGGCAATAAAGCTCATTCTGATCTTGACTATAATGTTTGTGGTTGCTGAATAAATGCACAAATACAACCTCTGTGCTGCAATTTTGCTTTCAAATAAAAAAAAAGTGTTTTTTTTTTTATTGAATTTTTTAACTTAACTTTAATTTAAGTTTTGTAACTTTTAAAGTTTTGGAATTAATATTGGGAAATTCAGTGTTTAGTCTGTGTTTAGTTTATTAGGAATTGCACAAAAGAGATTAAAGATGTAATGTAGGGAGTGTTTTAATATATATGACAAATATAATTAAAAGAATTAAAATGAGAACACTCGTGATCATAACTTCATTGATTTTTTTTTTTTTTTTTGCTCACCTGTAACTTATTTTCTTATTTATTTTCATTACTTTTCATATCACTTGTACTGTACGTGCTCTTTGTACACTGAGAGTAACATTATCAGCGTCTGAATGCTATATTCACATGGCTGTAAGGTTAGGTTTAAAGCTTGGGGCTTTAACTTAAAATGTGACAGTTTGAACTGCTGGTAGCACATCCTGAGGCAGCACACATTTTCAGAACACCATTTCCAAACTCATGACCCAAATGCTTATCTTATTGGTCCAAAGATATTTAAAGCTGAACTGAACAGATCTTATCCTTGCTGATGTTCAGATAGATGATCAGATAAGCTTTTATTTTTTTTTATTTTTTTTTTTAAAGTGATGCATAGAGCAGACGGCTTCTTAAGGTCACTGACCACTGTGAGGTCACTAGTAGATTTCCAGTAGGTGCTCCTACCCTTTATGTGTATCCAAGTGTATTTTAGTCAATCTGCATTGGTCAATTGCTACATTAGTCACTCTTAAATGTATTTTTGTCATATTATTTATTTAATTGTTTATTTATTTATAATAAGCTCTAAGGATGCACCGGATGTTCAGCAACCAGAATTTTATAATAAGCGAAAAGACAGAATAAATTGTACCGAACAATGACGTGATGCAATCAAATAGTGGGGCGCGCTAATGCAGCAAACATGTCGGCAGTGTGGAAGCATTTAAAAGTGTCAGAGAAAGACGCAGACAGCCAGAGACTGCTTAGCACTACATCGCATATCTTCGAAGAGAAGAAGGGTGGTTGTTGCTGGTTACTGTATGATGACTGAAATCGCGAAACGGCCTTAAAAAATTAGTAAATAAACTGCAGAATGTTATGTTTTATTTCTGACAGTGCTGCGTGAGGTCGCGCCGCTATCTGCTTGATAGCCAGGGTTCAAAGTCCAAAGCGCAAGGAAAATCTGCGCTGAAATTTAGGGGTGCTCCGATCAGGGTTTTTGGGGCCGATCACTGATCACAGAAAGCAGTATCTGCCGATCCGATCACCGATACCGATCTTTTTAAAGCCTTCTTTTAATCATTTATAATCATTTATAGTGATACTCCAATCAGGATTTTTAGACATTTTATTGTGAAACACAGTAGACTTTAATTATATGCATTTATGGTGTAATTACTACATTTTCGTGTCAATCCATGTTCATATTTACTGCAAACAATGCGCTGTTACTTTAATTCAGTGCTTGCAGCGCCGCAAACAGACTCGGTGTGAAAACGATCTCTGCTCTGCTGCAGACGCGCTGCTGGACCGCAACCGTGCGCAGTGTGCACGCTTTATTAATCCGTTAACATGAGCGCGGAAAAAATACGCACCACATACGCACTGCAAACGGAGTAATGTGAACCTGGCATTATGTGTGTGCGCTGCGAGTGTGCATGAGTGCACGGTCTCCAGGAGAGCGCGCGAGCGCTGAATGGTTAAACACTGGCAAGAATTAAAAAGTAATGCAATTTATAAACTTTAGTGATGATGTGACACTGCCTCGATTGTGCAAGTGACAATTCCTGTGTTGACTGTGCAGCGTGCAGCTCACTTATAGACAGACGCGATGTGGTGATTTGAAGCCATTTGCGTATTTTGAGAGCGAAAGAGAGTGCGCGCGGTGTGATTCACTCACGCTGTTTGTGAAATT